CCTATCCTTTAAAAAAAAACAATTAGTCGATGGATGCAAATAGTTCAGGATCATCCATCTGGAATATATATTTATTTTTTTAAACTTTTCTCTCAGGGAGTCTTAAAATTAAAGTTATAAATTGCCGTACGGGTACGGTCTTCCTTTGCACGTGGAATTGTAGTGGAACCCCTGTTTAATTGATAGTATATCTTGTCAGTATGCGTATCTTATCAATTCTTATCTGTTTGTAACTATTACTAGCTGTTTTAACATTGACTTAACTAATCAGTTTTTATTAACTTTTTAATAGAATTAGTGTGACGAACACAGTTCACATGATGAAAGTTGATGCTGTGGCTCATAGACGTCTACATCTAATGACTATGGAATTCCTCGGAACACAGCAGCATTATTCTACTATTTCACGATCTTGATTACGCGCTATAGTGGTGTAGATATGTGACAGATTCGACTTTTTAGATAATACTAGCTGTTCGCCGCGACTTCGCCCGCGTGTAATTTATTACGACAGGAAAAAATTAAAACCCATGAAGGGATTTAATTTTTTTACGCGGAACACTAAGTATTTTTCTAAAATAGAAATAGCCTAATATACTCTATGTAACATCAGCTATCTACCGATGAAAGTCCCCTTAAAATCGGTCCAGCCATTCCGGAGATTAGCCGAAATAAACAGACAGACGGATAGACAAAAATTTAAAAAGTTGTGTTTTTGTTATAAGTATCGTATATACTTTCATATGCATTTAGTAAAAAGCTACTATTCTGTCGTTACAAACAGACACTTCAATTTTATTTATTTGTATGTATATAGATTATTGAAATATTTAAAAAAAATCGAAAATGCACCATTATTTAGTAAGCAGTTGTTAATTATGTTAAATATTTTAAATATAATTTATATTATTGATATTTGCGTACTGACTTTTATTGATCAAAAACATGTATCTGTTTTTTTTTTGCGAGAAGTAAAATAAATTATGGCTAAACATCGATCACTAATTAGTGATCGATGTGGCTTAGTTTATAATATTATCCTAGAGGCGAACGTAATTCTAAACCAGACCTGTTATTTTATTTTATTTTCTTTTATTTATTAAAGATATGCAAACAAATGTACAAAGGTATAATAAAAATATTATCAAAAAAGAGTATTTTATATATATATTCAACACATATACTATACTATTTTTGATAATACACAATAAGTAACAAGTTGAAGAGAATAAAGTTAATATCACAAAAAAACTATTAAACAGTATAAAAGAATCTTGCATGAATTAATTATTAAAGCGTCAGTAGCCTAATGGCAGGGCGCGGTCCGCGAACTCGAAAGGTCGTGGGTTCGAATCCGCCATTCGACTACTGTCGTGAACCACTTCTAACACAAGCATTTTAAGCTTACTAGAAGTGGTTAAAGGGAATATTAGTAATGTTTGATAGCATTACTAGTATTTTTTTTTAAATATAAATAATCATCATATTATTATAGATGATAATCATATTATAATGAAACATTTTAAAAAAGGCGGCTTCGTACACCTGTAAGCGAAGTGTAGAGCGGCCCCCATCTAGATGGACTGGCGACCTGACTAGTGGCAAGACAAGGTAGTCTTTGGATGCAGGTCGCTCTGGGCTGAGTTTTGTAACATTCCTAGGGGGAGGCCTATGTTCAGCAATGGTCTTGTGAAGGGCTGTAGTAATAATGAAAACAATGAACGTTGACGATTTAACGTAAAAGTGTTGTAATAACGGATAACAGTAAGTTACGTAATACGAGCGTGTGACTCACCAAGCAACTCTGTTTTAGCTGAGTATGTTAAATCATTTCCTCGTTTGATAAAAATCCACTTTACTGCTGTTAAGTTAACAAACAATAATATATATTTGGAATTTTCATTGCAAGTGATAAATTTGTTAATGAACAGAAACTACCAGAGTTGCGATGCTTGGTATTTCAAGTTCAGGATCACACTGCTGCACATAGTTGCGACGCTTAGTGTTTGGTGTTCAGGATCACACCGTTGCACTTATCGAGAAAAATATTCTATTAATTAACTGCTTACCAAAGCGTGAGGCTTATGGCCCTGAGCGTCAGGTTCTAGGAAGCGACTTTTTGAGGATGAATGCCGCTAGTAAAAACTTCAAAATATCTAAAAATTATCTGTTATTAAATACGTGCATTCAATACGTACATATATTAAATACGTACATTTCAAACGTCGTGGAGCGATGCTGCAGCTATATTAATTGTATAGTTGTAGCACGAGTGGGTCGGTTCGACCGGGGAAGAACCACGCTCTCACCAGAATACCAGCGTAAAATAGCAGTTTAATGGCGCGTCTCCACCAAAGTAACAAAACTTTCAACACAACATTTGTCAATACGTGTTTGTTGCCGACAAATGTTTCTGTAATCACCTAGTTTTAGCAACAAAACGAAACAATGTCGGGAATCGTGTTTCCATTTTCGGCGTGAAGACGCTTCTTGCAACGTTTTGAAACATTTTCGTAAACAAATGTCGTCAACTTTTGTTGATTTGTCAACAGTTGGAAACATAAATGTTGTCAACATTTTTGGTGGAAACGCGCCTTTATGCTGCTGTGTTTCGTTTGGTGAGTGTAGAGAACCGGAGGCCCTTTTTACTGGAAAAGAGGAATTCCATCTTAGTCCTCACGGGTGACAATGCATCTGCATTTTGATTCGCAAACGAAGATAGATGTAGATGTCTATGGGCCACAGCAACCACTTACCATCAGGTGCACTGCGTGCTCGTTTGTCACCCTTATCTATAAAAAAATACGTATAATTTACGCTCACTTTTATCATCACTTTAGAAATCACTTTAGAATTGCAAGTTTTAAAAATAGAGATAATCTACTTGCCAAGTATAGGGATAAATATAAATAATATATTTTATTGTTTTATTCATTTCTAAATACAAAAATATACACAAAGACTTCTACCAATTTATTTTGGGCGGTAGCTATGCTATAGGCCGTTCTATTACTAATGATGGTGAACCTATGACCCACGGGTCATACGCTCACGCCATGCAGCCTTTTCAAATGAACTACGCGTTAATTTTAATGAAATTATTTTTAATTGTGTATACTATGGCACGTTTAAGAAAAAAGTTTCTTATCCATTATAATATTCCTGAATGTGTTTTAACCATCCTACTCTGCCCCTATTCAAGTGACGTCACTGACTTGTGATCCACGAAATAGTGTTGAATAAAGAATGAAAAAAATTAGACCCTTTTCTCAAAATGTATAGGTTTAACTGTGCTCTATTGTCACGCTTACATGTATAAAAAATATAAAAGTGAAAACGCTTTGGTTGAGAAACGTCCACATATAAATAACTGTCAATTCAATTTCATTCAATTATATTTCAATACCTTCATAAAACTGTTACATGTATAAAAAAATAAGTGAAAACGCTTTAGTTGAGAAACGTCCACATATAAATAAATGTCAATTCAATTTCATTCAATTATATTTCAATACATCAAGGGACTTTTTTGTTATGTTGGTACATTCTTTACATAATCACAGATTAACTATGTATTAGTTACTAATATTCAATTTCTAAATGTGTACGTTATCACATGTCTCATAACTACGGTAACTCATACGTGCCCTGCTGGGAATACGAGTGAATGTGATAACATAATATCATCAGTCATAATATATCAATTTGCTGGTTCTCCTCATTTTATCGCGTTAATAATTACTTTTTTAATTTCCAGCGTAACGAGCGCTTTACAACATCTATGCTCACGGGGATCGGAAAGAAGGAATTAAGTAAAATAATAAACCTTAGCGTTATCGCGACCACTGATGTATTATAGTTTTAATAATAAAGCAAGAACCTTAGTATATAGCAAGTAAGGCAACGAGTGAATAGTAAACTAGTTTATAAAGTTGAATACGAACTTGTAACCTTATTTGTTTTGACTTGATTTCAAGTACCCGGGGGCCGCAAAAGTAATTTATCGCTAGGTGAACTCAACTTTGTTTTTCGAATTGTGGTGAAAGAAAAAAATTTGGTCAAATATGATATAAATATGATAAAACTAGACTTGCAACGAGTAGTTTCTTATTCGGCTGCACGCCGAATACGAATACCGAATATTCTGCGGACTTCCTGGCCGAATAGCCGAATATTAGGCAAAAGTATTCGGCCGAGAAGAATGTAGTGTTTATTCAGGGCGTCTTTTCTCTGAATCTGGGATTGTCTACGAGAATAAAAGGAGGTTTACTCTTCCTAGCTATGCCTGAAAATGCAGAAAAAATATATTTTCTGCTTCTTTCATTTCTAAATTTTAAATTCGATAGTTCAAGTGCGTAGAGAAATTTTTTGTTAATTTTTATAATACGGAAGTTAATTATGTACCTGTGACTACTTTAATGTCTATAAGAACAAGTGGTAAAATTAAAAAAATTGTACAACCGACTTCAATATAAATTATTATGGATAACTCAAAAGCTACTGGTCAGACCTTAATCAAATTTATTTGGGACCATATGAGAAACCCAGCTTTCAAATAAAAATAAAAACCGTCGTAATAGGTTTACCAAGAAAAAAGTTATGAGTTAACTCACATAAAAAAAAACTTATAGTCGAATTGAATACGGAGGTATTCTATTTTAAAGTCTGTAGAAAATACACTATTTTAAAATAAATCAATATTTTCATCAAATATGTGATATATTAAAACATTTTATTTAAGTATTCTGTATTCGGTCAATAGAACCTATAGATATTCGGTATTCGATCGAATAGGATAAAAGTAACCGAATAGGCAGAATACCGAATAATTGCCGTATATTCAGGTCAAAGTCAGGTGACCTAAGCCTGTGCAGTGGTACGTTTAATAGCACGTTACTGGTCACTTTATTTTTTACTTTAATAGTAATTTTAACGATAAAATAATATTTACTTTATTATATCAATGCGAAATAGCAATATATCCTACTTATTTATTGCAGACAATGTCCCGAAGGAGACTGTTAATTGGGAGCGCGGCGGGAGCCGCGGGGGCTGTGATGGCTGCCTGGGCCCTCGCTGCCGACGACTCGCTTCCAGTAAGTAATATCGTAACATATAATATACTATAGTCAGCAGTACGATAATATAAATATTATACGAGTTATGTTGAATATATAATTCCTACAGTACAGTTTGCATGTGTTTACAATTAAACAAAGCTTTCCTGCGTGGTAGAGTCATGCTGCAGCTATATATTATGATTGTATTGTGTCGACTCAACCGGGGAAACACCACGCTCATACAGATTACCAGCGTGAAATGCTGCTGTGTTTCGTATGGTGATTGTAGAGAATTCGAGCCCGTTTTCACTGGAAACGATGCCTTCCATCTTAGTCCTCAGGAGTGACAAAGCAACTGCATATTGGCTCTTAATCAAGAATATATATTATGTTCTCGATAGACTCCTACATATGTTATGTAGATGTATGAGCATATATTAATTAAATTATAATAATATATAACACGGAGAATATATACAATAACAAAAAAAAAATTACCATCATAAAGTATATTCCTCTACTTTATATTCCTCGGGGTACAGCGACAAGAACGCTGGCTGCGCTTTCTAGTTGAATGGCCATACTAAGCCTTTGGACGAAAAAAGAACTAGTCCTTTTGCTATCAGCAGCGACGCCTAGTTGCATAGCTTTTTACATAAACATTATCACGTAGCGTAAGCCAAGCACGGTTAATAAATTGTAAAAAAAAAGATTAAAATATAATTAAAGAAGAGAAAGAGAATTAAAAAAAAATATTAATTTATTAACATACATAAGAAAAACGCTACAACTGTACAGCACAAGATGATGTTTGTAGAATACAGGAGAGGCTCTGAAAAAGGCCTACGTCGGCTTGTCCTTTTAAAGGAGAGTGGACCAGCGAGTATCAGAAGCACGCAGTAGCGTACCGAGTGTCAGGAATACGTAGCACCAGCAACGCCCCCGAAACCGCAACTCGCAGCTCGAAGTGTTGACCTCAGCGAGTCTCTTCTGAAGGGCGCCTTTTCTTATTAAACTTGAAAATCGAAGAAAAAAAATAATTGGTATTAAAAATGTAGACTTACGCCTTTACTGAGATAAAATCGGACATAATTACCCTACTGTATTAAAATCAAATATAAATATATAATAAATAAAAAAGTAATAGAGACATAAAGGATACATTAGGTATATAAACAAAATATTTTTAACAATGCTAAAGAATTAATTGATAAACATAAACGAGAGTGGGTATGTCATAGTTATAAAGTAGAATTAAAATCTAAAAGGTATGATGACATCAGAAACTTCAGTAATGCCATTTATTTAACTGTTTTATGTAAAAATATTAGTTATTTATCTGTTTTATACAAAAATATTACATTACCTCAGTGCCATGCTCTGTTTCTTCGCTCGGCCTTTTTAGTGAGCTCGATTTCATTAAAATTAAACTTATTAGTCTAAGTCACGGGCATATATAAAGTTATAAAGTACTCTGTACGAGCAAAAGCACAGAGTAACCGAACGCTTTTATAGGATACATTTTCGAGGTTGAGCGTAGAAATTATATTGACTTCATTTTCATTCCGCTCTCCCCTTCTATCGTCGCACTCCACTTTGTTATCGACTTGACACACATTCAAATCAATCTGCTTAGATCACAGTAAAAGCAGGCCTCTGTTACTCTTGCTACCTGCGTGAAATAATTACCTACAATCGCGAACTGCCCCAGGGGTAGATCGCAGTCGGGGCTAGCGCGCTCTATACGATTGAATGTTAGTTTTTTTAACGCTGTTTACCTACGTAAATAATTTTTTGTAAATACTTGTTGAAATACTCGTCGAAATAGTTTTTGTTTAGTGTTTAGTATATTTAATTGTAGGATAAGATAGTTTTTTTTTTTTTATAGAAGAAGGATGACAAACGAGCACACAGTCCACCTGATGGTAAGTGGTTGCTGCGGCCCATAGACATCTACATCTTTCTTCGTTTGCGAATTAAAATGCAGATGCGTTGTCAGCCGTGAGGACTAAGATAGAATGCCTCTTTTCCAGTAAAAAGGGTCTCCGGTTCTCTACACTCACCACACGAAACTATGTTCAGTAGTGGACTATATTCAGTAGTGGACTTTTATAGAATGTATTTTTTTTTATATAGAATAATGGTGAAAAACATACAAACAATCAAACAAAGCAGAATTAAGCTGCTATTTTACACTGATATTCTGTGACATGCCATGGTCCTTCCCCGATCGAGCCGACCCATTCGTGCTACAACTATACTATTAATATAGCTGCAGCATGTCTAGCCACGTGTAAAAAAATGAAATAAATTTACCTTTCATTATCCTTCGGTAACACAAAAAATGATATATCTGAATCCTTCCATCCCCGCACCAATTATAGTAGGAACGACGTTTTGCCATTATAATTTATCAAATAGATATGTAATATACATAATATATTATATTAATCTTAAATTACATTGAAACTTTTTCAACTATAGATTACGATCATATTTCTGTTAGGAATCGTATTTCGGGTTTATTTGTTGTTTACGCTATCTACCTATAAGAAGAAATCATCGCGATTCCCGACGAATGGCCTTGCAAGTTGCATGCGTTGGGCATCACAGAACTCATACTAGATAATATGGTCGATTATAGTCAGCATACATACTTTACCTAAGTAATTTACCATTTCACAATGTACTTTTTTACTCTTTATTAACAGCCCTTAGCAACCACGGAAAGTCTGTTGTAACGTAGTAAGGAGAAAAGATGCAAAATAATACGGACACACGCGCGCAGCGATAAAATTTTATTTAGCTTGCGTGCGCGATTTATCTGATTAATAATAACTATGTAGGTTATTAAAACGTCGGCAAGCAGTCAACATCAAAAGAGTGCAACTTCTGTACGTAGTACTATTATTTATTCTGTGGTAAAAGAGTGAAATAATTTATAAGCGCCAGTCTTTCGTAGTGTTTTCAATACAAGAGTAAATGGGCTTTTCGTTCAGCTAAGTCAGTGAATAAAATATTTACGGCTACATCATCACACTTTTGTCCAAATACTCAAATGCTGCTAAATTTTAAGATGCCGTTAAGTCTCGTGCTGTCTTTATCACTTTAAGTCAAAGTGACTGCAATACCACGAGACTTAGCGGCATCTTAAAATGGAGTAACGTTTGAGTATTTGGCCATTAGTGGAATGGTTGTAAAGCTTCTCATTCATTTTTAATTGTAGCCTATCAAAACATGGGCCTCCCCCATAGATTAGTTATTGCCAAAGTTATCTCGCCTGACAGACGGATGTTCAACCGTAGTTTCTTTTATTTTTACCAGGAAGGTTACTGCTGCCCATCTTTTTTTTTATAGGATAAGGTGACAAACGAGCACACAGTCCACCTGATGGTAAGTGGTTGCTGTGGCCCATAGACATCTACATCTATCTTCGATTACGTATCAAAATGCAGATGCGTTGTCACCCGTGAGGACTGAGATGGATTGCCTCGTTTCCAGTAAAAAGTGTCTCCGGTTGTCTACACTCACCATACAAAACACAGCAGCATTAAGCTGCTATTTTACGCTGGTATTCTGTGAGAGCGTGGTTCTTCTCCTGTCGAGCCGACCCATTTGTGCTACAACCATAATATAGTTGCAGCATGGCTCTACCACGTAAAACTGTCATGTTTCATTGCACTGTAACGATTCACTTAATACACAATAGATGATATAGGCAGTGGAATCTCGAAAGATTTTATAGGTAAAAATATCCTTATAAACACTGTAAAGTGCCAATCTTCTGGCACTAACTATTATCTTATTGGACAGCGTGGTTATAATTTAATGTCGAAAAGAATTAAAATAAATAATAAATATTAATTTATGGTCGAGTCATCAAGATTTTTTGTGGACACTAAAACAAAAGATCGTCATAATCGTATGTGGGATACATACATTACTGTCTGCGTGAATCCGCTATTGAGTCTATGTGCATTCATACGTACATAATTTTGAGGCTAATAAGGATGTAGTATTTTATGCGTGGTAGAGATACGTTGCAGCTGTATAATGGTTGCACCACGAAAAGGTCGAATCAACCGGGGAAGGGCCACGGTCAGACAGAATACCAGCGAGTACATAGAATAATAACAGAATTAATAACAGAATTTTTTGCGTGGTAGAGCCCACGCTCTCACAGAATACCAGCGTAAAATGACAGCTCAATTCTTCGTATGGTGAGTGTAGAGAACCAGAGACCCGTTTTACTGGATACGAGACATTCCATCTTAGTCCTCAGGGGTGACAATGCATCTGCATTTTGATTATTAAACGAGGATAGATGAAGATGTCTATGGGCCACAGCATCTACTTACCATCAGGTGGGCTGTGTGCTCGCTTGTCACCCTTATTCTATTAAAAAAAAATGTTCAACTTCAAGTTAGCCAACCGTAAGTTTTTAATGAATGTACATAAATATTTTCTTTAATTAAAAGGTATGATAATAATGAAACCATTATTTTATATTTATTTATTTGACAAAATATTTTTTAATACCCATTCGTTTTCAGTAGAAAATAAAAACTGGAAATAATATACTTCAGAAGAATGTTTTGCGTCTGAACATTAAAAGTTTAAAAGGGAGGCGCGTCTATCGCTGTGCCCCCTCTCAACTGTGTGGGGAATATTATAATCGATGAGAGACGTTTCTTTCCCTTCTTCCAAAGACCTTCGTCAAAGAAGACTCATGATTAAAATCTATGATTTTTTTTAATAGTATTTTTATAATATTTAGTTGGGAAGTGGACATCAGTCAGGCGTCTTTGTGGATTGTGGATATTTTCCACATTCATTATTAGTTATAACAGTACAGGAGACGCCGGTAGTTTAGATTTAACAGTCTTTACAGATCAGTCATTATTTGGGTTCCGTACCCAAAGGGTAACCAAAGGGATAGATGTAGATGTCTATGGACCACAGCAACCAGTGGTTTTCACAGCAAACGAGCACACAGTTCACCTGATGGTAAGTGGTTGCCAACCACTTACCATCAGGTGGACTGTGTGCTCGTTTGTCACCCTATCCCATAAAAAAAATATAAATAATGATATACCGTTATTGTAGTTTTTGAAAATACGAGTAAATAAGGTTTTATTTTTATTTAAAATCATCCCAAATTGAATGTGATTTATGAGCAACAACTATGCGTATATAGTCTGTTCGCTTAGATGTATAGATGGGCGGAGGCAGTAGCGTCCAAGGGCGAGGCGTTGGCCGTTAGTTTGGACGATCGGGTTTGGCACAAAGTGCTTCTTTCGAAGCTCCCTTCCTATGGGCTTCCCGAGAAATTGTGCGATTGGATTACCAGCTTCCTTGCAGATCGGAGCATCTAGGTCGTTGTAGACGGTGCATGCTACGACTACAAGCTTATTAACGCTGGTGTTTCACAAGACTGTGTGCTATCACCAACGCTGTTTCTTCTGCATATCAATGATATGTTGCTAACTGGTAACATTCATTGCTATGCGGATGACAGCACTGGTGATGCTCTATACACCGGCCGTGCCAATATTTCTCGGGAAAACGTCGCCGAGTACTGGAACAAACTTGTGTCTGAAGTCGATTCTTTGCTTAGAATAGAAAAACATTAATTTAACAAACAGAGTAAAAAATTATACAATAAAAGCAAAATAATAAGTGCGCCTCCGGGTGTACCGACACTATCTTTTATCTTAGCGAACAGACTATACGCGCGCTCCCCTGGGTGCGATTTAATAAACAAATATTTCTCACCGACCGAGCGACCCCTCAAATGTCTGCGTGCGTAGTAAAATAGTAGGCGTTAGATATTTATGAGAGATAATCAGTTAAAATAATGCATTATCACGCATTCTGAATTTAAAAGATAAAAAGTAGAGGTTGTTTGAGATTTTTTTAAATTAATTATTCTTCACCATGCAGGCGCATGGTATAACTTATTTTTTACTTTCTCTGCAAATTTGGGCGTATTATGCAAAATAACCCTGTATATCTGTACATCGTTTAAAATATATCAATTTAATAATTTTCTCAGTCAAATGAGTTTATCTGTCTGGTTACATTACAGCAATGGTACCAACCGCCAAAGGTGTCAGCGAAGACAGAGCGCAAGAAGCGCCCTCTGCCATCACGGACGGAACAAGTGAACATGCTGCAGGCCGGACACACATACGACGTGCTCATCATCGGCGGCGGAGCAACAGGAGCCGGCTGTGCTCTCGACGCAACCACCAGAGGTAATCTAAATATATTCTACTCATGTAATAAAAACATAAATACTCATGCCTGTCACCCAGAGGGGTAGGCAGAGACTACGGACTTCCATTTGGCACGATCCCGGCATACCTCTCTCGCCTTTACCTACACATACATGCTCATCGGTTAAGAGTACTCCTAATCTGGCCAATTTTCAATATATCGCCAATTTGGTTGATAAACCTTCGTCTAGGGCGTCCCTTCCCGACTCTGCCGTTGACATCTGCAACATAGGTTTGCCTTGTCACTATTTCCTCGTTCATTCTTTCTACGTGACCAAACCACCGAAACATTCCTTTCTTAATCCTGGTCACAACATCATGTAATAAAGCTGCACGTAATCGTGTAGTGGTGGAGAAAGTGAATCCTATCAACCATTTCATGTCGTAAGTGCCATAAGAAGCAATTATGGTGATGACGAAAAAATGTGATGGCCTGCGAAAGATGACTGTGTAGTTGTCTAGTATATACTAGAGTAAGATGCATCTGTAGGAAATGACAGAAAGGCAAGTAAAATACCCAGATAGGCGACGAGCAACAGCGTTAAAGGTGGGAGACGTTTAGTACTCCGAACAGGCGTGATGATTAGGGCAAAGCCTTCCTAAAGTTACAGTGGCAAATTCCCTTAGTGAAGAAGAAGAAGATATGCCAGATGTAAAATACACAGGATGGCAACTAGAAACAGCACTTAAGGTGAAAATCAACTCGCAGTATGATATGAGTATCAAGCTGCAAAGCGGTTGCGGTAAATCGTCCATACGTTGGTTTTTAAAAACAATACAATATTCTGACTCCTCATTTGTGATTTTTCTAAGCAGTACCTTTTTTTTATAGGATAAGGGTGACAAGCGAGTACACAGTCCACCTGATGGTAAGTGGTTGCTGTGGCCCATAGACATCTACATCTATCCTCGTTTGCGAATAAGATGCAGATACGTTGTCACCCGTGTAAGATTGAATGCCTCTTTTCTAATAAAAAGGGTCTCCGGTTTTCTATACTTACCATACGAATCACAGCAGCATTAAGCTGCTATTTTACGTTGGTATTCTGTGAGAGCGTGGTCCTTCGCCGGTTGAGCCGACCCATTCGTGCTACAACTATACTATTATATATATTAAAACCCCACATTTCCTTTATCATTTTAAAATATTGTCTTCTTGTACTTAGATTTACATACTACTTTCGGAGTTGTAATTTTGTAGTATTTTATTCGGAAAACGATGAATAAAATTAAACATAAAATAGTGATTTATTGATACATTTTTATTGCTTTTAACAGTCATATTACACGGTAATATCAAAAATATATTTTTCTCTCTAAAATGAATATTAATTCTCGCATCTGTATTTAGATAACCTGAGATAACCGTATAATACCTAAGTCGAATTTCAATCATCTACGTGATCTAATATTAGTCTCTAAGAAAGAACATATGAGACTGACAGACTGGCATTGAGGTGTTTCCTTAAATGGCGGGTCGATGCGGGTTGATTTTTTTAAAGATACTTGTAAGATTAATTGACTAGAGAAGTCAAAAACAGGATCAAAAATACATATAATTATATTATATTGTCATAATGAAAGTTTATATTAAGTTATTTCATTTTAAACAAATTTAAAGGGCATCGCTATTAAATGCTTGTAAATTATACTACTGTACATTCTCGACCTACAAATTTTAAACACTAAGGCACTGTGGTTAAAAATTTAATTTACCTTTTGAAGTGCACTTAGGAAACTGGGGTATTTCCGAAAATTTCAATGCTTTCAATGCGTCCAGGTCACGTAATACAATTCAAAATGAATTATGTTTACTGCAAGTTTTATAAATAGATGAAGATATAAATAGTTATTGAAGTACTTGACTAAAATGAAAGCCTTTAAGCAGAACAAGCACAGGCCACAAGCAAAGGCCTCCTCATATCGCTCAGAGATTGACTTAAGGACCAGTTGAAAAAATTGAAAATTGAAATTGAACAATTGAAAAAAAATTATTGCAACAAAAAAAAATTTATACATACCTTCGATGGAACGGGTATAAAATCCTTGTATAACGCTTAAGTATATAAAACTCTCTGGGCTTTGGGCTTCCCTTTTTCACTGAAATATGATGAAAATAATATTTTTATTTTCGTCATCGTTCGTCTTACAAAGCGTGTATTTTTTTTTCCAGGTCTCCGTACAGCTTTAGTGGAAGCGGATGACTTTGCAAGTGGTACATCCAGTCGTAGTACTAAATTGATTCACGGCGGCGTTCGTTACCTACAAAAAGCCATTATGCAACTTGATTACGATCAATATAAAATGGTGAAAGAGGCGTTACATGAAAGAGCGAATATGCTGGAGGTAGCTCCCCACCTAACTCGACCGTTGCCTATTCTACTACCTGTATACAAGTGAGTAAAGTTATACCATAGAGCGTACTAGATTGTAGTTCAAAAAGTAATTGAAAAATTATCTGGCTCGACGGACCAAAATCATCTTGACAATAGTAATAATTAATTAATTATATTTAAATATTTATGATTTAAAATAACGGAATACAAATAAGAGACGTACATGAGATCTAGTTAATAAGTAGTTATCAATGAGACTGCGTTTTTAGTGTAAGTGACACATCAATATCATCGAGGTTAATTGAACGACTTTTGTTCAAGCAAAGAAGGCTACAAGTGCGTTGTCGCCCCTGAGGAAGATGGAATGCCACAGAGCCTGTAGTTATACTGTCTTTCTGACCAAAAACATCAGTGCAGAAGGTGCAAGTAAGCGGGTAGTATCTACCACCCGTTGAGATGGTTTGGCCTGTGAGAGAATGAATGAAGAACAATTGACGAAAAAAGTGTATAAGGCGAGTGTGAATGAAAGTGTTGGAAGGGGTAGACCTAGGCGGACATTTCTAGACCAAATCAGGGACGTCTTGAAAAAAGGCCAGGTCAAGAGTACCCTAAACCGTAGAGCATGTATGAAGGGAATAATGAAAGTGGACGAAGCGAAACAAGTATGTAAGGATCGTAGCAAGTGGAAAGAAGTGGTCTCTGCCTACCCCTACGGGAAAGAGGCGTTATATGTATGTATGTATGTATCTACCACCACACCACCAGCCGAACTCCTATGATCCTATGCAGTAAAGGAGTCCTACCACCTAATAAAATATACGCTGTAATTTAATATTTTTTTATATAGAAGAGGGGGCAAACGAGCATGCGGCTCACCTGATAAGTGACTACCGCCGCTCATGTACAAATGCAACACCAAGGGAATTGCAGATGCGTTGCCGCCCTATTAAAAAAGAGTAGGCTCTTTTCTTGAAGGTCCCTAAGTGTTATATTTACCACCATTTAATTTAAGCCACCACGGGGAGTCCAGTCCTACTGTATCACAATTAAAATTTTTAGTTTTTCTTTATTATAGTTTTTGTAACTTTTTAGTTAGATTTAATTTTATAGCTTGAAATAAATTAAGATAAAAAAAAACAATTTTTACGTAAAATTTCTAATTTAACTTTTTACAAAATTACAGGTGGTGGCAAGTCCCCTACTATTGGTTCGGTATTAAGATGTACGACTTAGTAGCGGGCGACAGAAACGTGAAGAGCTCATACTACCTCTCGAAGAAGAATACTCTCGAATTGTTCCCTATGTTAAAGTCGGATAATCTTTGCGGAGGCATTGTCTACTACGATGGTGAGTAACCTATTTATTATGCCAGGTTTTGTATGTGAGTCGATATTGTAGTTTTTATTTTTCAACAAATATAGCCCATAATGATCAATTGTATATATGCAAATAATACAAATTGAATAATTTAATAATTTTACGGATGTTAAGTACAAATTGAACACGATAAAATCCGTAGTTAAAATTAAACGCGATAAATATCCGTACAATTACATTTATTAAAAAACTGAACCAACCTACAACTAGCACAAATGGAAAGCTGTTAGTGGTGGAAGCGATTTGTCACCCACACATTTTAATTTTCATATCAATAGTATTTTTTACTGTCGTCAGGTCAGCAAGACGATGCCCGTATGAACTTGGCGATCGCACTGACGGCAGCGCGACATGGCGCGACTATTGCCAACCACGTCAGCGTCATCAAGTTACATAAAACTGCCGGAAAGCTCAGTGGAGCTAGAGTTAGGGTTCGTATTTTTTATTTAGTTATAGTTTGAATAGAGAAAAGATCATTAACGAGGAATTTGAATAACAGCCATAACTTTCTGTGTTTTTACATAATCGAGTTTTGGACGAATGGGCTGCGAATGGGGCTGTTTAATTAGGACTATGCTCTGCTCGCATGTTTCGTTTGGTCGGTAACGAAAACCGGCGGCCCTCTTTACAAATCTAAGTCCTCAGGGATAGAAAGGCCTGCATTTTTACGTGTATTTTACGTGGTAGCGCCATGCTTCAGCTATATTATTATAGTTGTAGCACGAGTGGGTCGGCTCATGTTTGCTGCTGTGTTTCGTATGGTGAGTGTAGAGAACCGGACACTCTTTTTACTGGAAACGAAGCATTCCATCTTAGTCTTCAGGGCTGGGAACGCATCTGCATTTTGATTCTTAATCGAGGATAGATGTAGATGTCTAAGCCTTACCATCATGTGGGCTGTGTGCTCGTTTCTCACCCCCATTTTATAAAAAAATTATGATAATTAATAGAATCAGGCGTTACTTTGCGGAAATCCATTATATTAAAGTTAGTAAAACTTTAAAAAATTATGATTCTTAAACGAGGATAGAAAAGTGGGTGGGAGTGGTGCGGAGGCTCCGATATAAAGATTATTTATTTAAAAAAAAAATAATTTGTGAGTTTAGTACAGTTTATCTGACTTATTCATTGTATTTTCTTTTTCAATTAAATAAATATTTCTATTAGGACGAGATGACGGGTAAGGAGTGGGACATAAAAGCGAAATGTATCATCAACGCGACCGGTCCATTCACGGACACCATCAGGAAAATGGACGACGAAACAGTGAAAGAGATCTGCTGCCCGTCCTCGGGCGTTCACATCGTGCTGCCCGGTTATTACAGGTAACTTTGGAAATAAAATGACGTTATAATTAATTCAAGTTGGTAAAAATTACTTTGCCTATATCCGCTCAATGAAATAAAATGATGTGTCTTACCTAGTTTGAACAGCAGCTCCCGCCCTCCCTCAATTGCGTGCACTATCCCCGTCACCACTACTCCCAGCAACACTACTCCCAATACCACTACACTGGGAAAGACACACCACCGACGATAATAGGACACGTGTTTTGCCTTTACAATAGGCATCCTCAGGTGAAGTAGACTCTGAGTTGGCTGACCGCTTATAATTAATTGTGCTCCAGCATTAATTTTCATTGCCACGGTATCATTTTAAATATTGTAGTGAATTCCATATTCCCCCCACCCTCATTGAATCTAGCTTTCGGAGATTTATAGGGTCACGATACAGATGTATTACGGCTGCAGCATGAATGTGTCGGCTTCACCAGAGAAGGACCACGCACATAGATTACCAACGTAAAATAGTAGCATAATAGCCCGCATCTGCATTTTGATTCTTAATAGAGGACAAATGTAGATGGTCTATGAGCCACATCGTCCACCTACCATCAGGCGGGCTGTCTTCTCGTTTACTAGACTTACTTCTATATAATTTAAAATTAAAAAATTTGTACAACCGACTTCAATATAAATTATTAAGATCAACTCAAAAACTAATTGGTCAGACCTTGATTAAATTTATGTGAACCACATGTGAAGCATCAGCTTTCAAATAAAAAGAGGACCATCTAGATCGGTTCACCCAGAAAGAAGTTATGAGGTAACACAATTAAAAAAACTTACAGTCGAATTGAGCACCGCCACCTGTTTGAAATCGGTAGAAAAATAATTAATACCCTAGGGTTGGTAATCGTCAAGCCTTTAGCCTCGCCCTGGTAATACATCGCTCCCAATCACCTGTCTTTACGATTAAGGCTCAGGTGTAAATACAATAGCACTACTTATGGCCTCTCGCCTCCTCCCACCGATTCGACTTACCCTCACCTTCACTAACATATACTACGGCACCGTTCGCGTACACAAACCTATAACCATTTTTGAATAAATTTGCCAAAATTAGTCGTTTACCAGAGTTTTGACGTCGACATTTCGAAGAAAAGGTAGTCATATTATATTACAGCCTATGAAAGTCTATTGCTGAACATCGAACTCTCCCCTAGATTGCCTTATAGGAAGGATTTAGACATAGTTGCCATGCTTGGCAGGTGGAGTTTTTTTTTTTTTTTTTTAAGTTGTTATCAGGAAGGTGCTGCTGCCCAACTTCTTTTTTAGTTTCCCTCTGTCGCCTCTTACGACACCCACGGGACGATATGAGGTAGTGGATATTATTTACACCACCTCCAGTACACGGTGGATATACTTACATATTTCCTTAAGTCCGATTAACTTACAGTATGTTGCTAATAAACAATAAACCAGTGCGTGTTGCCAGTGATGACTTACGGATCTGAAACGTGGTCATTTACTGCTGGCCGTATGAGGAAGCTCAAGGTCACTCAGCGAGCTATGGAGAGGGCTATGCTCGGGGTTTCTCTGCGTGATAAACTTAGAAATAACGATATCCGCAGTAGAACCAGAGTAACGGATTAGTAAGCTGAAGTGGCAGTGGGCCGCCCATATAGCTCGAAGAACCGATAATCGATGGGGAAGAAAGGTTCTTGAGTGGCAGCCTCGTACCGGTAGGCGAAGTGTAGGGCGACCCCCCACGAGATGGAGTGACGACCTGGTAAGACATGCAGGAAGTCGATGGATGCAGGTGGCTCAGGACCGTGCTTTGTGGCATTCCTTGTGGGAGGCCTATGTTCAGCAGTGGACTTGTGAAAGGCTGTAATGATGATAATGATGATGATTGAACTTACAGTATGTTGCTAATGCTTATTTTGTTACGTTCAGTCCGGAGCACATGGGTCTACTGGATCCAGCGACGTCGGACGGGCGTGTGATCTTCTTCCTGCCGTGGCTGAAGGGCACCATCGCGGGCACCACCGACCTGCCATGCCAGGTCACACACAGCCCCAAGCCCACCGAGGACGAGATCCTCTTCATCCTCACCGAAGTCAAAAACTACCTCAATCCTGACGTTGAAGGTATTTTTATGATTTTAGGCTAGGCTCTCAGTGGAAATGTTTCGACGGGATCTTCTAGCGTTTGTTATAAACACAAGCTTTATATTAGTGTCCTAAGTGGCCGCTGCTTAGAATGTATAGCAAACGCGCCGATATGTTGTACGAGTTATTGAATGTTGTTTATTGAGACTTTGGGCTTAAGAGTGAAACAAAATGAATATTATATTTTTTCCTCGACGTAAGGAATTAAAATTTTGTTTGTCATATCTAGTAAGAGCTATTATAAATACAAACGAGGCATTCCGTCTGATGTCCTTGGGGTGACAACGTACCTACTTGCGTTCTATTTTTCGGACTGGCGACAAGTGTCTAAGTGATGGCATGGTTGATGAGTGACAAGCAAGCTTACATTCTATCGTTAGACGAACTATTTACTCTCTAAGCGTCTACATGCCATTGTCTTTCCCATTTTTGACAAACTTGGGACAACATTTGGGACAAACGGGATGGTGGATTTTTTATCAAATCCTCTTAAGTAACTCAACCTCTTAATTGACAAATAAGTCAGCTTTTTTGGCGACGGATGTCTATGAGGTACCGTAATCACTGTGGCTCTCGTTAAGTGCGTTATCAGAATCAATATTCAAGCGTATAAAATAACTATACCTACTTCAGAAAATTCGACCATAAACAATCCAGTCAAATTCTTATTTGCAAATTGTATGTGGGTCCTTGGCTTCTACATTGGCCGGAGAATAACAGTATTTTCAAAGACCCCGCTTTACCGAAGCGCGTCATAAGTTTTCTGCCGTTTGTTACATGTTGTATATTGTACTACATAATACATATTACTATAATGATAACATTTAACAAATATGTTGTTTCTTTTATCCTAAATTGTTATGTCAACTGACGGCACAACCAATTTTATAGAAGTAACGAATGAGGGGATTCACGACTTTTTCTACCACCAGGGCGGCGCCACTTTACAATGAGGTAAAAATTTAACAGATTTCATAGCGGGAACTATAATTTCTTAGTAAAATGTAAACATTAATGACTCTTTCCGTATTATTTGTTATATTTTATATTGATTAGATTAGAAATGAATATTTTTATTTTTATTTTTTTATTTTTATAGGATAGGGTGACAAACGAGCACACAGTCCACCTGATGGTAAGTGGTTGCTGTGGCCCATAGACATTTACATTTATCCTCGTTTGCGAATCAAAATGCAGATGTGTTGTCGCTCGTGAGGACTAAGATGGAATGCCTTTTTTCCAGTAAAAAGGGTCTCCGATTCTCTACACTCACCATACGAAACTGTCAAGCTGCTATTTTACGCTGGTATTCCGTGAGAGCGTGGTCCTTCCTCGGTCGAGCCGACCCATTCATGCTACAACTATACTACTAATATAGCTGCAGCATGGCTCTACCACGTAAAAAATCAAACTATATAAATGTACCTAACTAAAAATAGAAAATATTAAAAAAATGCGAAAAATGAAAAATAAAACCACTGACGCATTGTGTTGTGTATTAATATAATATTGTAGATAATGATAAACTATTATTTAAAACTAATTTCTTAATTAACTGACATTGTGTAACAAAAACTTTACCTCAGTCACGACTAGCGACATCTGGCGAGTGGAAAATTATTAGCCCTCATTATAATTCCTTCTTTGTACATACGAGTATATTCTATTACCTCTTTTCTGTGCATTTAATAAATGAATATAATCGTACTTAAGTGCGTCGCGGCGACGTGCTGTCGGCGTGGTCGGGCATCCGGCCGCTGGTGTCGGACCCCAACAAGCCGGACACGCAGTCGCTGGCGCGCAACCACATCGTGCACGTGTCGCCCGCCGGCCTCGTCACCATCGCCGGCGGCAAGTGGACCACGTACCGCGCCATGGCCGCAGAGACCATTGACGCTGCTATCGAAAGTGAGTCTTAACTTTTAAAACATAATAAAAGTAAGCGCAGTGGCTTTAGCAATGAGTTGCAGCGCTAAACGCCGTGGGTTCGAATCCCACACGGAACAAGTATTTGTATGACACATAAATAATTGTTGCGGGTCTGGATGTTTGTACTCGTGCAATTTATGTATGTAACTGTAAACCACGATATAGAAGAAAAATTTAAAAATAGCCTAAGAGCATCTTCTGTATCGTATATATCGTCTAACTTTTAATCATCATCCCCTATTTTTCCACCCTTAATGATAGAATATTTTCTTTAAATTTATATGAGACCACTCCTGAGGCATAACCCTATTAATTAAAAAAGAATCATTTATACCGATTAAGCCGTTTCCGAATAATCGGTACCTACACATACTAAAACACACGTCAAATATAGAACCTTCTCGTTTTTATTAAACTTGGTTAAAAAAGGTTTATAATACTTAATAAATCTGTTAATGATCGCGTAACTTACGAATGGCATGACCGATTTAGGTTATATTTACAGAAAAATCTTCGCGACGATGGAACATGGCTTTACTATGATCCGATACGAAGATCCGAGGTTCCTAGGATCAGGATAGGTATAGGCGGTGCTGAAGTCAAATTATTAACAAATTCTATACTTATTGAACAAAATGACTTATAATCGCAATATTAAGATGGTTTTGTGCCATAATCATCACGAAAGATGGCGTCGAGTTATTAATAAATATGTTCACACTATAAAAAGACCGGAGTAAAACTAATCGCGCCACCTAGCGGAAAAAGCAGAGTCACCTCCGCCGGGTCTGGCGCAGGATCTACGTTGTGAAATTAGTTTTTAATTCTAGAAATTAATTTCAGATCTAAGAGAATTCAAACACCGTGTAAATACATTTAAGTACGAAATTCAACAATATATTATATTAGATGGATTTTATGATTTTGTAAGAACGTTTAAATTACCGTTTCCCACCCTTATATCATTAAAAGGTTTGATTAAATAAAACTCATAAAAATTGGTGAAAATTAGGCCGAAATTATTAGGATTAGCTGTTATGCTCCATTAATTATTGTTTTATTGTAACTATTTAAGAACTTTCATCTTGAAACTTCACATATAAAATAAGGAATAACTAGTTTACTAAAATTTTGACCGATGCCTTAAAGTATCGTAAATTTTTGTTTAAAAAAGATTTTTCGACTAAAAAGACTATTAAAAATATTACATGCTGTCACATTTTTCAACTTATTATTTACAGGTGCAAACTTGAAGCCACTGTATAAGGAATGCCAAACTGACGGGTTCCTTATAGAGGGAGCACATGGATGGACGCCCACAATGTACATCAGATTAGTGCAAGATTTTGGTCTAGAAATGGAGGTATTATTATTAATTATTTTATACAAGTGTATTTGTATATTTTTATATATCTCTCATAGGAGGGATTTAGCTCTAGTTGCGATACTTGCCAGGTGGGTTGGTAAACGTAGTTTTTATTATTTCAAGTTATCAGGAAGATAATGCTGCCCATCTCTCGTTTCACTTTCCCTCACGTCGCCACTAACGACATCTACGGGACCATCGATATATATGTACTACGCACTAGATTTCGCATTCCGAACATTCACTATGTTCAACTGAACTGTACTGCAATCCGTATACTAAACTAAATATTGCATAAATTGAAGATTTGTGAATTTCATAACATAATTATTATTACATTTTATTTAGAAATATGTTTGTTTAGATTAAAATAAGAGTATTTTATATTAAATTCTTATATTTATTTTATATTTAACATCTTATTTTATATTAAACTAGCTCGCCAGGCAGACGTTGTTATACCCTTTCCGACGACCCTTCCCATAAAAATCCTTAAATTCCCAATAAAAAATTTTGAGGGTCATTTATCGGGATAAAAACTATCCTATCTCTCAAGTTGGACCAAAATGCACACAGTGTGCAAAATTTCATTGAAATCAGTTAAGTAGGTTAGGAGGCCATCGCGGACAAACAACGTGACACGTACTTTTTATATATAAAGACTAGCTCTTCCCCGCGACTTCGCTCGCGTTTTAGGGTTTTTATGTTTTTATGCGGAACCCTAATTATTTTTCTAAAATAAAAGTAGCCTAAGTTACTCCTTATGAAATCAGCTATCTGCCAGTAAAAGTCCCCCGTCAAAATCGGTCCAGCCGTTTCGGAGATTACCCGGAACAAACAGACAGACAGACAAAAATTTTAAAAATTGTATTTTAGTTATAAGTACCGTATTTACTATCATATGCATTTAGTAAAAAACTGTAATTATTATATTACAAACAGACACTTCAATTTTATTTATTTGTATAGATTAAAGTCTTCGCCCATGCGCGACTCCACTATCTCCCACGCATGCGCGAAGACATAGAGTACACAATTTATGTTTGGAATAGCTTCTCTAGTACGTAGTACATTAAACTCAATGTACGTGACGATATGATTACACATGGTAGAGCCATGCTGCAGGTTGTAGCATGAAAGGGTCGGCTCGACCGGGGAAGGACAACGCTCTCACAGAATACCAGCGTAAAATAGCAGCTCAATGCTGCTGTATTTCGTATGGTGAGTGTAGAATCTTTTTACGGAGATCCTTTTTACTGGAAACGAGGCGTTCCATCTTAGTCCTCACGGGTGGCAACGCATCTACATTTTGATTCTTAAATGTAAATAGATGTAGATGTCGATGAGCCGCAGCATCCACTTATCATCAGGTGGACTGTGTGTTTGTTTGTCTATGTTATTCTATAAAAAAATATGGAGTAGTAGATATTCTTACACCGCTACCACAAGGTTGAGCAAATCACAATAAGGCAAAGTTTGGGTGAAGGCGTGGACTTTTAATAGGCTGTAATTAATAAAAGAATATTTCTAAATATCATGTATATTTTTCAGGTTGCCCAACACTTGGCAAAGTCCTACGGTGACAGAGCTTTCGCAGTAGCAAAGATGGCATCTATGACTGGCAAGAGATGGCCTATCATCGGCAAAAAAGTCCACCCTGAATTTCCATATATAGACGCTGAAATCAGGTATAATAGAGAACATTAGAAATACAGGTTATGCATAATATACACTATAGATTATAATAGTTATTAAGTATTTTATTGTGCTTTTATCACTAGTTCGCACATGGAACCGGGACTTTTTTTTAAACAATAGTTTCCAATGTATGATGTTCACTTAAATGAAAAAAAGATTTGAACAATTTAGTAACAATCACTATTTTTTTTATAAAATTGAATTGATAAACGAACTTACAGTGCACTTCATAGTAAGTGCACATTGCAGTTCTTGGACAGCCTTATCACCTCTGAGGATTAAAATGGATTGCCTCAGATGGCTCTACCTTCTTAAAAGTTACAAATTATTAATATACTAGCTGTTCCCCGCGACTTCGCTCTCGTGTTAGGGTTTTTATGTTTTTGCACGGAACCCTAATTCTTTTTCTAAAATAAAAGTAGCCTAAGTTACTCCTTATGAAATCAGCTACCTGCCAGTGAAAGTCCCGTCAAAATCGGTCCAGCCGTTTCGGAGATTAGCCGGAACAGAACAAGACACACAGACAGACAAAAATTAAAAAAATTGTAATTTAGTTATAAGTACCGTATTTGCTTTCATATGCATTTAGTAAAAAAATGTAATTTTGACATTACAAACAGACACTTCAATTTTATTTATTTGTATAGATTATTTAATATGTTGTATGTAACCACTATATTAATATTTTGTTAATGAACAACTATTATTTACTATTATTTATTTAAAAATGCATGCAGAGACAATTTATTTTTTTTACGTGGTAGCGGCATACTGCAGCTATATTAGTAGTATGGTTGTAGCATGAATGGGTCAGCTCGACCGGGGTAGGACCACGCTCTCGCAGAATACCAACGGTGTTTCGTATGGTGAGTGTAGAGAACCGGAGACCCTTTTTTACTGGAAAAGAGGCATTCCATCTTGGAACTCACGGGTGACAACGCATATATACGAATAAATAAGTAGTAAGACTATGAATAAATTAATCCCATTTTACTATTAGGAATCTGTTTCTAAATTTTTAAAAAGATTTCAAATGTATTTTTTTTATAGAATAAAGGTGACAAATGAGCACACAGTCCACCTGATGGTAAGTGATTGCTGTGGCGCATAGACATCTACATCTATCCTCGGTTACGAATCAAAATGCAGATGCGTCGTCACCCGAGAGGACTATGATGGAGTGCCTCGTTTGCAGTAAAAAGGATCTCCGGTTCTATACACTCACCATACGAAACACAGTAGCGTTAAGCTGCTATTTGACGCTGGTATTCTGTGAGAGCGTGGCCCTTCCCCGGTCGAGCCGACCCATTCGTGCTACAACTAAACAATATAGCTGAAGCATGGCTCTACCACGTTATAATCTGGCATCTACCTTTCCATTCAATTATAATTATGGGTGTCTTCAAGGCAAGAGTGAATAGGCTTTTGTTAAGCTAAGTCAGTGCGCTTTACCGTCATTGGCTGTGTCACCACTTATCAGGTGGGATAGCAGTCAAGTACTGGTTTATAATAATAAAAAAAATTACAAATGTAAAACAGATACGGCGTGCGTGAATACGCGTGTACTGCTGTGGACATGATCGCGCGACGGCTGCGGCTCGCCTTCCTCAACGTGCAAGCGGCAGTCGAGGCACTGCCCGCCATCACCGACATCATGGCCGAGGAGCTCAAGTGGAGCGACGCCGAGAAGAACGTAATCATTTTTTCATAATTTTAGGCCCGTATTAATAAACGTTACTCAACGACGAACTCAATTGCGTAATCGTTTGATACGCATCATTACGATATCAGCATCTCAAGATCGTTGCTAATTAATAAACACATAAAAACAGTATCTCAGAACGCTGTAAGTACTTAGGAATACTGTTCTGTGACTTGCACTCTCACTTGAGAGTCGAGTTTTGTTTTATTAATCAATGTGGCACTCAGCTGATATCGTAAACCTAAACAGCATCTTGAAATATGTTATTAATAAGATCATAACCTCAATACAAGTATGTGTACCTAGCTGAGTAACGTTTATTAATACGGGTGCTAGAAACGGTACACTGACTATCGAGTAGCCGAGAGAGACATGACAGCTCAGAGGCGAGCAACTCGGGTTCGAATTGTTAATAACAACTTTAAAGACATTTTTTCCCCTCAACGGTATTTTCTGCGTACAGTGATTACTTATGTTTTTTTAATAAAATCAATGTTACAAATGAACTAACCACCAGATGGTAAGTGGCTACAGATGCGTTGTCAGTTTATAATTATAGCGTTGTCATTATATAATATAGAAGGGTAATTTCTGCCCAAACGAACGCCTAGGCAGGAAACAAGTTCTACCATCATGTAACCTACATTGCTCATATAACTGCCGTGTGGTGCCCGCTTAAGAGAATCTATCACTCCTTGATGATACTGAAGAAATGCCAAGAATATCTTATGCATTCCGATATATGGCAGTATTTATAACCAATGAGAAAACAAGATATTTTTTTTAATATAGAAAAATGGTGACAAACGAGCACATAGACGCCTGATGATAAGTGGATGCTGTGGCCCAATAGACATCTACATTTATCACCCCTGAGGTCTCCGGTTCTCTACACTCACCATACGAAACACAGCAGATTTAATCTGCTATTTTATTCTGGTATTCTTTGAGAGCGTGGTCCTTTTCTGTCGAGCTGAACTATTCCTGCTACAACCGTATTATAGCTGCAGTGTGGCTCTATCACTTATGAAATCTGTTTACTCCTTTTAGTGATATAATTATTCATCAATGTCATCAACAAAGATGACCGCCAAGCTATAGCCGCTAGAGATGGTACCTTTTTTAATTTTTATATCCAAACTATGAGTTTATAATAATATTCTTCTTTTTATTGCAGCGACAAATTAAAATAGCGAGCGAATTTCTTGCCAACGAGATGGGACAAATGGTGAACCGTGCCAGTCGCGACAAGATTCCAATCAATCTCAGCAAGGAGGAGATCCAGACCTACATCAAACGCTTCCAGATCATCGACAAGGATAGGAAGGGCTTCGTTTCCATTAATGACATTAGGAGGAGTCTCAAGGTAAAGTGTCAATTTATTATTTAATTATATATTACTTCAGTTTTGATAATATATTTTTTTTCATGAAAGACTTTTAAGGATCATGTGGAACCTTGATTTTATTGACCCCACGTTAGATCACTTTTTTATTGAATATTGGTGACAAACGAGCACACAGTCCACCTGATGGTAAGTTGATGCTATAGCCCATTGACATCCAGATCTCTCATCGATTAAGAATCAAAATTCAGATGCGTTGTCACCCCTGAGGACTAAGTTTGAATGTCTCGTTTCCAGTAACAGAGGTCACCGGTTCTCTACACTTACCGTATAAAGCACAGCAGCATTGGGCTGCTATTTTACGCTGGTATTCTCTGAGAGCGTGGTTCTTTCACCAATTGAACCGACCAAGGATTTGTAGATTAGATTATTTTTAACACCCCTGCTGAATGTGTTGATTGAAGCAAATCTTCTATACGATTGGAGAGGTCAATGACCAGCTGTGGATTGTGTTGCTGACTGACCATAACCAGACCGGCAATGGGGAAAAAGCCTCAAAATCTGGTGCTGCAATCACCAATCCAATCCATATGAGAGGTTCATGTTTAGAAGTGTAGTATAGTTTTGAAAAAAAAAGGATTGGGGTAAAATTTTCACATGAAACTGTATCACCCTAAAATACCATCATCAGTTTTGTGGGTGTCGTAAGAGGCAGGCAAATCAAAGAAGTGCTCGGAAGACCTTGTGGTCTCCGATAGAAAAAAGTATAACTGTCGTGTTAGGTATAATAAGAATAGAAGTGGAATTAGTTTTGGTTGAGCAATTGGATGAGTTTGTGTATTTAGAATGCATTAGGACGTGTTAGAAATTAGGATCCCTAGGATGTGTTTACATAGCGCGGATGGTAGACATGACAATGATATAGAACGAATAGTAAATGCAAGACACAGAGTGAATGGGGATTTCTCTATAGTGGGAAGTCACATGTGTCGAAAATGTCGCGTGTAGAAACAGTGTTGTTTTAGTCTTTACATGTGAACCTTAACCTTAATATACAGTAGTGAGAGTTACATGTAGTAGAAGAAGCTTGTGAGTGAAATAAATACAGCCATTAAGAATTAAAGAGATTAAAAATAAAACGGACGACTCTTGATGATAGAATGAAAAATGGTGTGATAACAGAAAAGTGTGCTTTGCAAGAAGATGTTGTGATCAGGATATAAAGAGGTAATGCTTTGATAGTTTGGGCACGTAAAACTAATGAGGAAATAGTGACAAAACGTATGTTGCAGAAGTGAGTAGCAGAGTCGGCAAGGGACGCTCTAAACGAAAGTTTATCAACTACATTGGCGATATATTGGAGACGGGCCAGATTAAAAATGGTGTGATAAGATATAAGAATGTGAGAGAAGCGAAAGGTGTGTCAGAATCATGCCAAATGTAGTCCACCCTGTGGGTGACAAGCGTGACAGAATATGTATGAATATTGTATATATGTATGTATATTAGCCTTACCGCACCAAGGCCGGCTAAACAGCAAGATGTTTGGTACCAACATTGCCAAATCGGCTGTCAATTGTGGTGATGTTGGCAAATCCTTGCTCTACTGAGAGAAGGCTACGTTCATCAGTGGACTTCCTTATGGGCCGCTGAGGTGGCGCATGCAAGTATATAAAAAAATATCAACGCCTAGTAAGGCGATTATTTTAATAATCTATTTCACTTTTTTGTTGACAAATGTTTTAGAGTATGGGCGTAAAACCAACTGACGCAGAAATAAGCTTGATCCTGTCAGAAATTGACGTCACATACCACGGGCAGCTGGAATTGCAGGACTACCTGCAGGTAGAACTCGAGGAAAAGATCTAAATTAGGAGCGCGTCGATGTTGCTTTATGTGTTATAAATGTTAGATGTGCGGTAATTGGGGTCTTGTTGCCTGTTTTGAAATTCGACAAAATAGTTGATATTAGAGTTACTTGATGTGACGTTCGTTGAAGGTAACTTCTATAGACAGTAGACTACCATGCTTTTAAACATGGTTTTCACACCGAAAATGAACGCAAACACGATTCAAAAACATGGCATCACGATGCAATCTTTAATTAGACAAACTGCCGACTTATTAGGAAATTCATGTAGTCGCAGAAATCTCATTATATGTCAGTCATTTGTGGCTTTTTGTTGAGTGTACAAGCTTGTGTCCACAGAACTACGGCGAGGACGTGACCGGGGAGCAGTTGCACGAAATATTGCGAGAGATCGACACTAACATGAACGGCCAGGTCGAACTTGACGAATATCTGCAGGTCCATACATATAATTGTCTTAAAAATACTGTCAGCTTAAGTATGTATATATTTTTTTAATAAATTGGCCAAATAAGTAAATTGGTCAAGGCCATTGGGAACACGCTTAAGGTAGCGTTCCGCTGAGCAGATTATTTATATATTTTGTAAAGTTGAAGTGTTTTAATCGAAAGTATGCAGTCAGACCAATTTTTCAAGTATAAGGTAGGTATATTATTTAAGGAGCTAAGGAGAGGGAGATGCATGGTATAATTATTTCAAAAATCTTTCTACTTGACCCCAGCCAAACATATATAAAAAAAATTTTGCATCCCCTGAATATATTTTCTCATCTTATAATTGAGACCTATGTTAAAAATGTATAACTATTCATAAATTTTTAGATATCTCATTTGGTCGAACCATGGTTGTACCTTGAATAGATACCAGCATAACTATGAAAGTTATGCTGATATGACTTGCAAGAACTGTTATATCATATTGTCCTATCTGCTTATACAGATAGGAATAGCGGAATACTAAAATCTCGTAACTTAAGGGCTATGAATGATTTCTAACATTCATAGCCCTATAACATTTCATTTAAAATAAAATTATGAAAGCATTGAAAATTCTTACTTCTTTTCTCTATAAATACATTTAAATACTACAACAAAAAGAAGATTGCCAATAAAGTACATTATTTGTCATTGTTTTACTAGTATCAAACACGATATATCGAACAGTTTGCATTAATATATTGTGCATGTTATATTTTAGCTCTAAGATTTTAATCAGTGTTATTCCATTTTATGTCGTTCCCTAAAATTTTGCATCGTCTGGCCTTGGCTCAAAAATTAGTTTGTTTGAAAAGAGAGAGAGAGAGAGAGGAGTCCACTCGTTATAGAGGATAAACTTCAGTCCACAGAACACAATTACTCCCTAAAAATAGAAAAACGCCAACTTCATACTAAAAAAAAAGGAAACACGTGTTTATGAGTGTACACTAAAAGCGCCACGGTGGGCGCCCATATAAAATTTTTTAGCAGGAATTTCAAATCTTGTATTCTGTAACTTTTAAACTTTTTGTTTATCTCAGGCAAATTTGAGTAATTTTGGCTCGAGCCTCCAAACCTAACAGATATAATATATATGTATATATTTGTATCTAATTTTTAAAATAGCAATCTGAAACAACGCGAAAGAAAGAAATAGCGATATCTTTTTCTCGCTTTAATTTTATACGCCCAATCCACACATAGATAAAATTATGATTGTGTGCATGTTTCTCGGATTTCATAAAGAGTTGCATTACCCAGCTTCAGTCTGTTCTGTGAGAGATTATAGATTGATAGAGTCTGTTTCACGAAAGAAGTCCCACGGAAAAATATAAGCAAATTAGAATTTTAGTATAAATATGAAATTTGACAGTAAATGTCAAACTCAAATTTTTTGAAGCCGCGACTAAAGACTTTCGTGAAAAGACCACACGTACACTAACATTGTATTTTTATAATTTAATTTGTGTTTGTGTGTGTGAGTGTTTGCTTGTAAAACGTACTTAGTGGTTTAATTAGCATTCTTTTGTTTCGTTAGCATATATTAGTATATCATGATGTCAATAATCGAATCCTTAGATTAGATTATGTACTAATATGGTACTGTTAATAATTAATCAGGTGTGGTAACATTAACTAGCTATTAACTTTTTGCAGGCACTCAAAGTAACTATTGCAATTTTATGCTTAAAAATAACAAGCTTTGGACATGAGTTTTTAAAGCAAAGTAAATAAAACTAAATAACTATATTTTGACATGATATTATTTGTAAGCATTTTGTTTTTCTTTACTTTGTGTAGATGTAAAACTAGTATCAATTTATAATATTCTATGTATCAGATGATGTCAGCAATTAAGTCTGGTCACGTGGCATATTCGAGATTCGCGCGCATGGCTGAGATGGAAGAAGAACACCACGAAAAGGAATCGCTCAAGAAAAAGATCACGGTAGAAAGGAGTGGAGGAGGCTTGTAAACGACGTAATGCAAACAGTAAGTATGCATTGGGAAGGGTAAAGATAGTGGACAGTTATTAATCTCGTTCTAAAATTATTGTAATACGTCCGGTTTTCGAAAGTCAAAATTTTAAAGTATTTTTACGATTTGAGGTTCCAAGAGTCCGATTCTACAGATGCAAGTAATACAAAGAGCATTTTTAAATCTGTTAAGAACTTTTGTAGAAATAAAAGTGTACTTAAGCTCTTATAAAAGTTCACTCAACATTTTGAAGCTGCATATTGGCATTTTAAAATCATTTTCAGGTTTAATCTCAAATTAGTTTCAATAATATTTTTTTCCAATTAAATACTACTGTAATGCCATAACTCCGCCATGTGAACCTAGGGTACCTATATTTGAGTACTTACAGTAAACACTTAAAAACCATCAATCAGCTCTAATAATTCTTTATTCCATTTTTTTTAAGTATAATGAATGCTTAATGCCATGAATCGGCCATCTGAACCTGAGGCTGTTTAATTTTGGCGATTAAAATTAAATGAGCATTACAATGTCTGATTAAGCGCTTATTAATGCATCCAGCTGAACCAGGGACCATTCTTTGAATATTACTTTCGAATACTTTTATGACGGTAATATAATTTTAATAATAAATAAAAGAATTGACTCTGACTCGGACGTATGCTTACCAAAGAAAGACAGTAATGGACAAAGTATGATACTTTGTCCAAGGTAATAGTATCTAGTAGGCAGTTAATTTTATTTAGTTGCAATATTAAATTTTTTTTATTTATTTTGTTTCAGATTCAGAATGCTACTCAACAATGTATAGATAACGTAAGCCTAATTGATTAATTTAGTGTATGAACATTATTTATGAAACGTAGAGTAAAATTCGTCGTCTCATTCTATTTATTATTACATAGATATGTACCTCATTCGTCCACTAATTATTGTATATTATGTCGTCACCATTTAGAGTATAACCTGTTCTTTAATTAAAATACACCCTATAGTAACTGAAAAACTATTGCATAATTTTTAATTTTATGAATAATGGTACCTAATATGAACCTTAATAATTCACAAATACATACTTACTACAGTAGAAGTGGAACCCTTTGTAACTGTTGTTTGTACCTATATATAGTTATTTAATTTTATTAATTTATTACGTAAAATGTTAAGCAAAACTAGGACGATTTTGTGATAATATTGCAATTTATGAAATTGAAATACTTAAAGAAATTTAATGAATTCGGTTTTCTAAATAAATCACAATATTTCTTTATTATTTGTTTTCAATACATTATGTATTACTTTTTGTACTTATTAAGGAACAATTTTCAGATAATTATACGCTTGGCGTAAGTATGATTACTTGAATTTCAATTTGACTTTCAGAATAATTATATACGTGTTCATTGTGCAATAAATTTTTTGAATCTTATTGAGTATTATCTTTTGATTTCCTCTTTCCTCACAAATCTTAACTCCATTGCAAATATGCTTTTCTAAAATTTTATTATTATTATCATTCTTATTTTATTTTATCATCATCATCATTCATTATTACAGCCCTTCACAAGTCCACAGCTGAACATAGGCCTCCCCCAAGGAATGCCACAAAGCACGGTCCTGAGCCACATGCATCCATCGACTTACTACATTTCTTACCAGATCGTCACTCCATCTAGTGAGGGGACGCCCTACACTTCGTCCGCTGGTATGAGGCTGCCACTCAAGGACCTTTTTTCTCCATCAGTTGTCGTTTCTTCGAACTATATGGCTGGCCACTATACTTATCCATTGGGTTATGTCGGTCACTCTAGTTCTACTGCGAATATCCTCATTTCTAAGTTTATCACGCAAAGAAACCCCGAGCATAGCCCTCTCCATAGCTCGCTGAGCGACCTTGAGCTTCCTCATCCGGCCAGCAGTGAAGGACCACGTCTCAGTTCCATAGATCATCACTGGCAACACGCACTGGTTGTACAGTCTCATTCTCAAGTTTTGAGAAATCGGTCTTCCAATGCAGTGGTGAAGAGTTTCGGGGATATAACGTCACCCTGTCTTACACCTCTCTGCAGTTGGATAGGTTTCGTAATCTGGTTCTGTACTCGGATAGCCATCGTAGCCCTACTGTACAAACACTTCAGCACTTCGATATAACGACAGTCAACTTGACACCGCTGAAGGGACTGCAGCACCGCCCAAATTTCGACGGAATCAAAGGCTTTTTCATAGTCCACATACGCCAGAAATAGTGGCAAATTGTACTCCTCGGTCTTCTGTACAATTTGATGAAGGATATATATGTAGTCTGTGGTACTAAAGCCTTTTCGGGAACCAGCTAATTCGGGAGGCTGGAAGTCGTCGAGTCTGCATGCGAGACGATTCGTAATAACTCTCGAAAACAGCACGTAGACGCGACTCAGAAGGGTAATCGTCTGTAGTTCTTCAAGAAAGCGTTGTCGCCTTTCTTGAAGAACAAGACCACCGCACATCTGCTCCACGCCTCTGGTGTAGTACCACCATGGAGGACGGAATTAAAGAGCTTCTGAAGGACTTCAAGTACCGGTTTTCCACCCGCTTTCAGAAGCTCCGCTGTAATTCCATCCTCGTGTGGGGCCTTGCCGTTTTTAAGGTGCTGGAGAGCCATTCTAATCTCACTCAGACTGAGGTCCGGAATATCACCGGAATAGTCTCAGATAAGACTTGCTCTTGGATCGTTACTCACACTTGCGAGTGGCTCCAACGATGATGTGTACAGCTGCCCATAGAACCTCTCAATCTCACTAAAAATCTCAGGTGTACCGGAAACGACGCTGCCACACTCGGTCTTCAGCTTCAACAGTTGGCTCTTTCTGATAGACAGATCTCTAGCAAAGACTTTGGAGCCATGGTTCCACTTGATCGCTTCTTCAATACGAGCAGTGTTAAAGTTGCGTAAGTCCCACCGCATGCATTTGGAGATCTGTCTGTTCATTGCCTGTATGCTGTCAAATCTACTGAAGACTGCAGCTTCATTTCCCGTGTAACAGCCATGAGATTAAGAGTGTGATCGGAGAGTATTTCTGTTCTTCTGCGGCGGGTCTTGAAAAACTTAGCTACGACAGCATGGACAGTTTCCACGAGCTTGTCAATCATATCGTTCACTGCATTGCATTCTTCTAAGCACTGAAAACGGTTTTGTACCTCGAGCTGAGGTTTCGGGTTTTTGGATTAGATCACGAGGGGGACGCAGCGTCGACTTCAGTAGACGTGACCTCTCCAACTTAACGTTTAGGTTCCTCTCACCATTCGGTGATCGTTGCCGGTTCTGAGATGTACTGAACATATCGTCATCATAATGAATCTCATTTTTGTCGAACCTTCGGGGCTCGACCAGGTTCACTTCCTGTGGGACCGCTTTTGGAAGAAAGAGTTCATCATAAAGAGTCCCTCTTTGTCCATGAAGTCGACTGCTGACCCCTTGGGTCCCGTTGCCCTATTCCGAATTTCCCTACTTTCAGCTCACCGTACTCTCTTGTGCCTAGTTTTGCGTTGAAGTCTCCCATTAACACCGTTACACCCTATAGTGACTTTTGGAGGAATGCATGGATGTGCCGAGGTTGGTGTGTAAACCTGTATGACCTTCAGCGAATAACGTTTGGTGATTCTGAGTATAAGGTACGCAACTCTCATCGACACACTCAATCTTTACAACGTTGTTAACGAGAGACTTGTGGACGATAAATTCGACACCTTGGGACAGATGGTCGCCCTCCCGGTGATAGAACAAGTTGCCAGATTCAAGGATTATCATGTCTTTCCCCTCTCTTCGGACCTCAGATAATCCTATAATATTCCAGCGCAACTTGTCTATATTTTATTATCATTGTTATTTTATTTGTTTTTTCTAGTAGAAAGTAGTAATAAGGTGAACTTAGGAATTAATGTTATTTTATCTACCGACTTCAAAAAGGAGATGGTACTCAATTCAACTGTATGTTTTTTTAGGTAACACCTCAAAACTTTGGTGAACCGATATTGATGATTCTTTTTTGATTTGAAAGCTTGATTTTCAAGTGGTCGCATATAAATTTGATCAAGGTCTGACCAGTAGTTTTTGAGTTATCCTTAATTATTTATATTGAAGTCGGTTGTGCAAATTTTTTAATTTTACCACTTGTAATCGTTATCTTTATCATAAACTAATTTTTAGATAGGTTATACACAGTAGATATTAAATATTATATGTTGATATTAACGTATTCCGTACTAGTTATTCTCTATACATAAAAATCAATTGCTGTCCGTTAGTCTCGCTAAAACTCGAAAATGACTCGATCGATTTTGGTGAATTTTTTTGTGTGTTTGAGGGAGTCCCTGGATGGTTTAAATTCACAGTAGTACCCGGTAGATGGCGCTGTTGTCAAGATCGAAAAATCACCAGTGAGAAGCCGGGGTGGAACGCCAGTAAGTTATTAAATCTAAAACCTTGATAGTCCAAGTTTTATTACCTAACTAGCTGTTCCCCGCGACGTCGCCCGCGTGTAATTTAGGGTTTTAATTATGCTGCGCGGAACTCTAATTATGTTTCTAAAATATAAGTAGCCTAAGTTACTCCTTATAACATCAGCTATCTGTCAGTGAAAGACCGGTCTAAATCGGTCCAGCCGTTTCGGAGATTAGCCGGAACAAACAGACAGACAGACAAAAATTTTAAAAATTGTGTTTTTGTTATAAGAACCATATTATATAGTTTCATTTGCATTTAATTAAAAGCTGTTATTTTAACATTACAAACAGACACTTCAATTTTATTTATTTATTTGTATATACATGGATAGAATCTATATAGATAGAATTTTTTTTTATTTAGTTAAAAAACGTTACCCCCACACTAGGATTTTCTCCTGTATCGTGGAGGCAGTTTACTAACATAATTGCACAAGGACGCACATCCAGACCCGGAACAATTATTTGCAGGCCATACAAATACTTGTTCCGTGCGGGATTCGAACCCGCGGCCCCTAGCGCAGCAACTTCATTGCTAAGCCACTGCGCCACGGAGCCGTCATATTAAAGTAAAGAAGAAAGAATTAAAGTAGACAACCGCGCACACAGAACAGTCCATGGTAAGGTAACGTTGTAAGTCCATAAACCTACGTCTATCGTTGTCATTTCTAAGTACCTACTAAGATGGAATGTATAATACAGAAAAAAAAAACAGTAAACATTTTAGATAGATAAATTAGAACTACAGCAATGTGTGTGACCGCCAAGTTAAAGCTGTGTATTTTATACACTATCGACATCGATCACTAATAAAAAACACTATCAAGTTAAATTCATGCCAGTCAAACAGCTTTTAATGTTCGTAAAGAAAAGATCGAAGCGAGAGTGCGGTGCGTGTATTGAATGTAAATAAGTACCTAGTATTACAACAAGCATAGAATATGATTTGTTTTTTTTTTTTAATTAAATTGTTGAATAATTTTCCAATTATTTTTACGACATTAAAATAAGATTCCATTTTCTTTTTCTTTCAAAAAACGTACGCCGAACATAAGAGTTTTCTCTTGTATCGTGTAGGCGTTTTACGTTAATAATTTTTTTTGCACATGGACAAACATCCAGTTTCCAGACTTTGAACAAATATTTGTAGGCCATACAAGAACTTGTTTCGAGCAGGGTTCTAGCCTGCACCGTCGGAGCCAAGTAGACTACTGCGCGACTGAGCCGAACATTTAACTTATTCCGAAATGCATAATAAATATACATATGCTGTATAAATTATTTTCAAATCTTATTTATTGTTATATATGTTATATTTATTTATGTTTTCAAAATGTATTTATCAAAAACGCGCAAGCAGATAATATACCAAATGTTCGATACAAATTTGCTTATTTTGATAAATACACAAGACAACATTCGGCTGAGAATTTAACCCAGGACCCGCGACATAGTGCGCAGGTATTTCAACCACTCGGCCAGACGATCACGGGACATTATCAAACGAAACGTCCTTGACGTCTTTTTTGATGAAGTCTCTGTTATTAGACATAATACTTTTACGGCTTCATCAACCCCACAGCCTGGTTTCTATATTAAATAAACATTTACAACCCGTTCTCCAGTGCATTAAGCGCTTGAAAAAAACAACTTACGAACGTCTTAAAAAATTTCGTCTAGTAAGAATTGTGTGTAACACGAACTTCTTAAAATAGAACGGATTGTATCGAAGAACGAATCGTTTCGTGAACAGAGGAATCGAGAATAAATTGCAATCTGAAGACAATTGATGATGTTATTAGAACCGCCCCTACCCTCGGTGTTTTCGTTTTTTTCCTTTATCGTATTGCACCGTCGATATGGGTGCGGACTGCGGACCCCAGCTTTTGCGGCTTATTTCATTTTGCCGTTCAATAAACGTCCTTTAGTAATATGACCGGAGGCAG